GTTACTGCAAAGGACAGGTACATTGAGGATTCCCTTAAGCCAAATTGTCAGTTTCCGACTATTTATGACAGTAAATAGTATCACGCTGCCAAAGTTGTACTTAACAACTAATCAGTAACTGTTGACGGTGGGAAAAGCAAGATTTTATGAGCGCTTCCTTCAGACGTTATATATATATACACCTGGAACTTAATTAAGCACCCCCTGATATATTTCATGATAGTAGAGCAACTGTTAACCATCGTTAAACATGAATGATATATCTGTATTACAACACATCTCTAGTAGTCTAAAAAGGTGTTTCAGTTCCGTGCACTCGTCACAATGCATCCCTTGTGCACGTGAAGCATACAACCCACACTTTTCCCAAAATTCAGTTTCTCTGACATGCAATTTATGGGTATAAAAGCAGACAAATTTGTAACTGTCTCCATTAATGAATACTGAAATGGCGAGGAGAAGACTTTCTGAAGCACTAAGGTGGCAAATTGTCGGCATGCATGCAACAGACATGTCCTTCAAAGCTATTGGACGACAACTGGGCTACAGTCACTCGGTCATCAGCCGACTTGTCCGAAAACATCAGATGACAGATGTGAGAGATCGTCCAAGGCCTGGACAACACAGGAAGACAACGGCCCGTGATGATCGCAGTCTGGCACGTCTGGTAAGGCGAGAACCCTTTGCCACAACTTCGGTTTTGAAGCGCCTGTGGTTACCCTACAGACAATTATCCACCAGAACCGTCAGAAATCTCCTTAGGGCACTTGGTATGAGGTCCAGAAGAGTCATCCAACGTCCTGCTCTGTCTGATCTCCATTAGAGACGACGTCTGGAGTGGTGTATGGCCCGTCGCCATTGGAGTGAGTGAGTGAGTTATTATTTAACGTCACATCGGCAATATTTCAGCCATATCGTGACGAGAACATTTGATATTGAAATAAAATATATGTATATTATAATACACCTGCCGACGAAGGACAGTAAAACAACTAGAGTATCACAGATAGACATGTAAAACTAGTAATTGAATCTAAAACATTTTAACTTTAAGGAACAGCACAATATAAAAATAGGCAATAGATCGCCAACAACTGAAGGTAGATCACCATACTAGGGACCATGGGGACTTACATTACTTTTGCTACCTGCATAGACCCTAGCTGGATTTACACCATCCCTTCAGCTGCTGGCGATTGGAAGAAATGTTAGCCAAAATTAAGAGAACAAGAATACTACGTTTAAAAATCCTGGCAAGTTTAAATTGACTTTGAAAGTTTTGGGACTTACGTACCCTCTCAGGAGGACAATAATTTTACAGTACTTTAACCCCCCTCAAGGATACAGCCACTAACAATCTATGTTACTAATTCAAACTTCCAATCATAAAATATTTAGCTATTTACAAATCTGTTAACAAATTTAATTCTTTTAAAAAAGCAATAATTAAATGAGGACTTATATTAGTAAAAAGATCCTTCATAGTTCGGGATTTGAAATAGATATCCCTTGTGATGGAGTACTCAACACAGTCAAGCAAGACATGCTTGACCGTGATTCGTTCATCACAAGGGATACAAAACGGAGGATCCTCACCTTTTAATAGGTACTCATGCATATATCTAGTGTGGCCAATACGACATCGTCGTATGACGACCTCTTCAAATCTGGACTGACAACCCAAGTAAGTGTAACCGATAGTTGGTTTTATTGCATGTAATTTATTGATACCTACTTCTTTTGCATCAGATCACGGATATAAGATCTTATAGCAGCTTTGTAATCAGAGTAAGGAATAAGAAGTGGTGTCACAGATTTGTTGAGGGCTGCCTTAGCAGCAATATCAGCCATCGTGTTCCCAGAAATGCCAACGTGGCTGGGTAACCAACAAAAGACGATGTCGCATTGGCCAGTAGCAAGATCATTATATAATTCGATTAATTCAATTAAAAGTGGATGTTTGCAAGAGAGATTTTTAATCGCCTGAAGGCAAGAAAGAGAGTCAGAAAATATGATATATTGTTTATCTTTGGGATGTCTTTCAATATATTTAAGAGCTGTTAATATGGCGTTTGCTTCTGCTGTAAATATAGAGCTGTTATCAGGTATTCTAGAAGATATTGTTCTGGATCCAATGACAGTGGCACATGCCACTGCGCCACCATCCTTGGACCCATCTGTAAATAAGGATTTGTATGTATTATAGTTATTCTTTAATTGATTATATTCTTGTTTATACTGTAATTCGTTAGTTTCGGATTTTTTAAACTTTGTCAGTGTTAGGTCAACTTGTGGCCTCACTAATTGCCAAGGAGGAGAAGAAAGAAGACGGGAAGGAGATATATTCTCCAACTCAATGCCAGCAGCAGAAATATATTGTTGGATTCTTATCCCAAGAGGTGGAACAAGTGAAGGTTTTTTATTATACAAGTCCTCATAAAGAGGATTAAAAATGCAAGTGTGAGCAGGATTGGATTCATTAGAATATAACTTTGTGATATATTGTAGGGACAATTTGATGCGGCGAAGTTTTAAAGATGGCTCATCAGCCTCAACGTAGAGACTGTCAATGGGAGAGGTTCTGAAAGACCCAAGACAAAGTCTTAGACCCTGGTGATGGATAGAATCAAGTAGTTTGAGGTTGCTTTTACAGGCCCCACCATATACGATGGAGCCATAATCAAGTTTCGAGCGGACCAATGATCGATACAGGTGGAGGAGGGTAGCTTGATTCCCTCACCACTTTGAGTTGGAAACAACTTTCAATAAATCGAGTGCCTTCAGGCATTTGGCTTTCAGTGATTTAATATGTGGCAAAAAAGTTAAATGGGAGTCGAAAATTAGACCCAAGAATTTGGCCTCCTTAACAACTTTGATGGGAGTGCCATTTAAAGATAGTTCTGGATCTTTATGCGGCTTATATTTTCTACAAAAGTGTAGACAATTAGTTTTGGATTTGGAAAATTTAAAACCGTTTTCAAGACACCATTTATTTATTTTATTTAAACACAACTGCAATTGCCGTTCAATGGTATGCATATTTTTACCACGACAAGAAATGTTAAAATCATCCACAAAAAGTGATCCATCAATGGAATCGTTTAAAACCTTGGATAAACTGTTAATCTTGATACTAAATAAAGTGACAGACAAAATACTGCCTTGAGGGACACCCTGATCCTGATTGTAATGATCAGACAGGGTTGAACCCACTCGGACTTGAAATTGTCTGTCTTTCAAAACCTCGTGATATAAAAGAGGCAAACGGCCTCTCAAACCAAAGTCATGTAAATCCCTCAAAATGCCATGCTTCCAGGTCGTATCATAAGCTTTCTCGAGATCAAAGAATATCGATACGGCATGTTGTTTATTTACGATTGCATTTTTAACAAAGGATTCTAATCGTACCAAATGATCAATGGTACTACGATTTTTCCTGAAACCACATTGAATATTGGTTATAAGGTTATTGGTTTCAAGATACCAAGTTAATCTATTATTCACCATACGTTCCATGGTTTTACAAACACAGCTAGTTAGAGAGATCGGTCTGTAATTAGACGGATCGGTATGATCCTTGCCAGGTTTTGGTATTGGGACTACAATGGCATTACGCCATGAAGGAGGAAATTCTCCAGACGTCCATATTTTGTCAAATATATCTAAAAGTGTCATCAGACATGGTTCCCGTAAGTGTTTCAGTAGCTGGTAATGTATATTGTCATCACCTGCTGCAGTGTCATGAGCTTGCTCAAGAGCAGTATGTAGCTCATCTAATGAAAACACTTCATTATAATCTTCACCATTATTCGATTCGAAATTAAGTTTTGTCTTTTCCTGTTGTTTCTGATATCTCTGAAACTCAGGGACATAATTTGCCGATGATGAATTTTTGGCAAGGGTTTCGCCAATTTTATTTGCAATGTCAGATTTATCAGTTATCAAGTTATCACCATCTTTAAGATGGTGTACAGCTGATTTTGAACCTTTGCCTTTTATTCGCTGAACCATGCTCCAAACCTTAGACATTGGTGTGCGCGAATTAATTTTGGAGACATAATTTCTCCAAGATTGTCGTTTGGTCGCCATTGGAACCCGAGGACATGGAGGAGGGTCCACTGGTCAGATGAGAGCAGGTTCCTCCTCCACGTTACAGATGGTCGAATGAGAGTGTGGAGGCATAAAAACACTGCTTACGTGCCCAGGAATATCCACCCTACTGTTCCTTATGGTGGAGGATCGGTTATGATCTGGGGTTGTCTTTCACACGACTGTAAACTTCAAATGGTGACTGTCCGAGGAAATCTTGATGGTCAGCAGTACATCCGGGATATTCTCCATCCAGTTGTCGTGCCTCACTTTGACAACCACCCGTTGGCTACTCACCCGATATTCATGGACGACAACGCCAGGCCGCATCGTTCACGTGCTGTGACCGCACATCTCCAGAATGAGGCTATCATGACATTACCTTGGCCAGCAATGAGCCCCGATTTGAATCCTTTGGAGCACATCTGGGACTTTCTTGGATGCCGTGTGAGGTTGAGAGAACCCCCTCTCCAGCATCTTGCACAGCTGGAAGCTGCTTTGCATGAAGAATGGCGGCAATTGCCACTTGATCGTATCAGAAGGTTTACCAGTAGCATGATGAGGAGGATTCAAGCTGTCATCCAAGCACGTGGGGGATACACCCGATACTGATGCCAGACCCATCAGATGTTAACATGTGACATTCCTTGTGCATCATTTCTTGTAATAGTCAGCCATTGACAATGCTACGACCATACTTGTTCAGTGACTATTTTCATCAAGAATCAATCGTTTCACGAAAGCCTCTTAGCGCTACGACGTCCTAAACCACGTCGTAAAGCAGCTCTTAATTTTTTGTATCGTTCCACAAAGACCTCCTAACTTTACACCACATCATAAACAACCTCCTAGCATACGATGGGTAAGAGGCACTTGTAACTAGCTTACGACATCGTAAGTCAGCGTTTAATATGGCGACACTACTGAGAATCCAAGAGATTTTGAACAGGAGAAATATTAAGCGAGAGCGAATATTCAGAGATAGGACCCAAATATTGGACACGTTGACCGACACAGAACTGATTGCCAGGTATCGTTTCCCTCGACATAACATCCTTCAGCTGGTTGATCGGGTCAGCTCGGCCATCACTCGGCCGACCAAGCGTTCGTGTGCCCTACCAGCCCATGTTCAGGTGTTAGCAACACTTAGATATTATTCTAAAGGTGGATTTCTCAGCGAACTAGGAGACATACATGGTATTGCCAAGTCAAGTGTTAGTCGCGTGTTGGAAGACACTACGGAAGCAATTGTCAACTCGCACGATCTGATCCGGTTTCCATCGCCCGACAAACATGCAAAACTTGCGGAGGATTTCTTCAACATCTGTGGTTTTCCGAAAGTTGTTGGCTGCATAGATTGCACTCTAATACCGATTCAACGGCCACCATTGGATGAGGCAGTATATGTGTGCAGGAAAGGATTCCATGCCATCAATGTGCAAGCTGTGTGCGACGCTCAACTGCGGTAAATATCCCTGACGTCCTTGACCCTTGCAATGTAAACAAACGATCTAGACGTGCTGAGACTTGCAAATAATAAATGTCATTGTGTCGTATTTGATTTTCAAATCGCTAATATAGGCTTGTTTGTCCCATTGATCGGATTTTTATAAAATAAGTTTGCCTTCTAATGCACGTTTACTTCAAAAATCTATTTATTTGTTGGGTATATTAAAAATATTTATTTATTTGTTTTGATGTATATAACTGTAAGGCCATTGTACCATGTGGTAAATGTGGAGTTGTGTTAAATATTTTTATAAAGATTGATCTCTTAAATAACATAGTACTTTATCTATGTATTTATAATTGCAGATTCACGAACATCATCGTCCAATGGCCTGGATCAACACATGATTCCCATATATTTAATAACTGCAATTTGAAATGCTGTCTCCAGGAAGGGAAATATGGCATCTGGCTTCTTGGTGATTCAGGGTAGGTATATCTATGTTCAAGTTATGTCATGTCAGCCTTTGTCTTTTTTATTAACAAAAAATGTCATATTTCTACCCTTAACATTTAAACATTTCAAAACATTTTCCATAGGTATGCATGCAGACCCTACCTCCTGACTCCAGTCAGCAATCCAGAAAATGAAAAAGAGGAGAAATATAACCGCTGCCACACTGCTACAAGAAACTCAGTGGAGAGGGCATTTGGGTTGTGCAAATCTAGATTCAGGTAAATATAAGGAAGTCTTATGTCTTAATTCAAGGTGTTATTAAAGCTTCTCATCTAAAGAGGTAGTACTGGTGATTATATGTAATTATACCCTTTTCTACATAATTATTTCACTTTGTTATTCCTTCTTGAAATTCTTAATAACTGTGCTATAAACATGCATGATTCATCCCTGTCTGTGAATACAAACATGTAATTATAAAAAATCTGTGTAGGTGTCTTCACAAATCAACTGGATGCCTGCTATTTAGTCCCGAGAAGAGCATCAAAATTATTACTGCCTGCATGCAACTTCACAATATGGCAATATTACTGAGGTTGCCTGAGCCAGATGTTCTGTGTGAGACTAGTGGACCAGACATGGACAACACTCATTCTGATAACTACAACACCGATGGATATAAAGTCAGGAGAAATCTTATCAACACAAGGTTTTAACACACATAACCAGTAAGTGATCCTTCTCTGCACAATAGTGATGGGAATTGGTTAAAATATCATAATTGATGTTTGATCCATTACAACCAATCAATCATAGAAAATAATTGGTTAGCATCATTTATCAAATGTTCCTGTTATATTTGTTAATGTACACAAAAAATTAAGAAAAAACATGTAGTTCTTTGGGGTTTTATGCAAACTGCACAAGATATTTAAAGGATGACTATGTTAGGAACAATAATTTCATGGAGTCAAAACCAGCCTTGTGAAAGATATTGTTGATGCATACAAGTGTGCAAAAATCGTTTGTGTTCGATTATGATGAGAAAACATGTTCGACTGCTTGGTTGTCTAGTCACTGCGACCAATCCTCGATTATTTCAATTAATCGGACCACCACTAGTCCACAAGCCATGTAATATCCACATGTCCTACCTGAAGTGGCAAGGTAGCAGGTTTTTCAAAATCCTGAACCACTTTATAGAAACACTTGTGAATCCTCCATTATAGTATTTTTAGTGTTTATGGAAAATATATTTTTTACATACATATGTTTTATCCAAATAAGAAAACAAACACATGAAAACTTTCATCAGCACAAGTAAACATGTGCCTTTAATTAAATTTGATAATTGGAGACAATGAATTTCCAAATGATTTTTTATATTCAAATTTCTCTCGTTCCAGATCCAGCCTTTGTCTTTGGATGTCCCGGATGTCCCGCTGCACAGACAGAATTTCTTCCAAAAGATACATCTTTCTTTCTTCCTGTGCTTGAAGGGATTTGATTTCTCCCAGAATGTCTTCTGAAAAGATTAAGACATTTTTTGTGTGATAATCAATGATGTGTGAATGTTCATTAATACCATCCAATGAAATATTTATGATCACAATTGCAGTACTGATACTAGAATACTGTAAACAAAGCAATAACATACCTTCATTTGATGTTTTCTTTACCGGAGGCTTCCCTTTAGGTTTTCCTTGAAAGAAATTTTGTATTGTTATTAGCTAGAGATACTAACAAAGTAAATTTCCTTTTTATGTGTGCACAAATATTTATCAATAAAGTTGAATAATGTTAAATACATACTTTTTTCAATAGCAGGAGTGACCATTGTGTCCACCACACAAGCTTGGTCCTTATCTGAAATGCATAGCATTCTTTTAAATAACTATAACTGATAACATGTTAAAAGTGTAGCTAAAAATCAGTGGAATTGCTTAACTGTGTCATTGTAAATTGCAAAGAATGGTAGCATTTCATCATCTGAATTTCTGGAATGGTGTCACACCTGTGCTAGCTCCACAACTGCCTTCTGTATCTGTGGCAGTTACTGGTGTGAAGAACACTTCCTGTTGAGAATCTGAAACATATCAGTTGTGACTGTATGCATTTTTCACACACAACATTAACTGGATGATAACATTGGATATGATAGTTATGTAACTGTTAAATTTTATATATGCTTTTATGTCCAAAACTACTTTACACCAAATATAAATTTATTTGATATTTATTACGTTTGACAAGAACGAGTTAAACTTTAAAATGAAAAGTAGTAGGTTTTGAATTTTTGCAAAATAAAATATTTTTGCATCTTCAAAACAAAGAAATGAGTTTGCATCATTATTTACCAAAGAGAAATGTTGTTTCTTCAGCTTCATCAGCAATAGATGGAATCATGCTGAAGACTGTGGAAGTAAAACAAATTTTACATTTGTGATGTTATAAAGAAACACTGTCAACATTTCATACAATAACTTTGAAATATATTTAGAACTTGATTAAACTACATATTTCAGTAACTTTAATACACATGTACATGAACAACATGAAGACAGTCTCATCATTACCAGGTGTTTCTATGCCTCCTGGAATCCCCTCAATAGCACAGGCAGGAATTAATTGTAGAATCTAATAAAAGAAGGAAATGGTAGCTCTATTACTATTATTATAGATATGTTTTGAGTTTCTTAGTGCATACACAATTTCATTTTCATGAATCATGTCTAGTGTTACTCAAACTCAGTTTGTTGTATTCATTATAAAACTAAATGCTTTGTATATTTATTTACCCTCTTTTCCATTACAGTAAGATCATCAGGGGGTGGTCCACCACCAGTTCTCTTAGCATTCAGCCTCCTGGCGGACTCTGATTTTTTGGCACATGCCTTCATATCTGTCCATTTCTTTCGGACCTCCTCTTCATTCCTTGTTATGTCACCAGTTGCATTAAGTCTGATATTGAAAATATGATATCATGATTATCATTATCATTACAGTCATTATTAATATTATCTTAGTCTGGGAAGATTGTTAGATAATAATTTTTGGGTTCAGCTGTGAAAAGGAGTGGATTATGGTTTCATGAGAAAACGAAAAAATAATAATCAATAAACCAATGAATTAATTTGGTATAATTGTACTATTCTTACATTGTAGAACATAGTTGATAGCAATAAACCATTTCCCCACAAATTTAGTTCGTTTCATTATCCGTATTATTTCAGAATGAAATAAGTCTGACAATTCGTATAAGTTTAAATAAGTACAAACGTGTTATGGAATGTCTCTCAATCTTTTTGTGTAAGTTAAAAATAGGCCAGATTTAGATTTTATTATAGTTTCATGTAACATGTCGTTGGAACAAATGAACTTACTTCGTGGTGATATCTTTCCAGATCTTCTTCTTTACATTGTTGGTGACCGTATTTGTGAGGCTTGAGATCAACGTTTCAAAATTACTCTCCACGCCAGACACGATTATATCAATGTCCGCAGTGGAGAAATTTCGTTTCCTCTTTTTTAGGGATCGAAGCGTCCATAATATGTTTTCCTTGTCGTCTGCCGTTTCGAGGGGGAACAACTCTGATATTACAATCTTCCATATCTCCACACAGGAGAGTTACAAGTCTTGCCGGAGCAGACAGATATTGTTATTTACTATTAAAATCATCAGATTTACAAACTGATGATGGAATCTTGCGGTGGAACATACTGTCATTAAACTTCAACAGGTTTGTAATTAACCATACTTACCATATAAGCTTTTATTGAATTCATATTTAGTGTTTGGCTCTTCGCTGATGAAATTTAAACAGGTGCGCTTCCATTTCCGGTTCGATTACATAGGCGTTGCTGGGTCATTCCACAAATAGAGGCCCAAACAACTTTTAGCAATGTTGAAAATTAAACATTCAGTTGTGGAATCTTTTTGGCAATATTATCATTTGTAAGTGTTTAATATTATCAGAACAAGTAGTGGTCGTATTCTTGACGCATTTTTATACTCTGTATCTTCAATTAAAAAATGTATGTTTTTGTCCCCCTTTATAATGTGTCATTACCGTCACACAACCCTTTTGTCCATTAACAACAAAAATACTTCAGTTAAACCAAATCCTTCTTATTAAGGTCATAGGTCTTCAATGACAAAAGTGTGTCAACAAAAGAATACATTACCATTTTCTTCTATAGGTCCAAGTCTATGAAATTCATTTGTGACATTGACTTCGTCCATAAAATGTGACTTTCAGTAATTATGAAGTTAATAGCACAATCATTAAAACAAAGTGTATTTGAAAGTTAATTCTGTTAACTAATAAAACTGTTACCTTTCTTTTAGTACATTTAAGGTCTTTTCAATAACCTGATAATCTATCATATTTTTTTAACAATATCCTGGCATGTTACGGTAATGACGGACTGTTATGGTAATGACAATTTGTTGTGACATCTTTATCATTTTAGCGTTATTATTACACTTTCATGTTTCTGAACAAACTATAAAGAAACGTCAGTCATCAATCTTAATCATTTAATCAAAGGTTGATGGCTGTCTCCCTAAACATCGTTCAAACCATATTTACCAGGTACTATGAACCCTGAAACCTATAACATTTATTCTAACAGATAAACACAATGTGTTAAAAATGCAACTATGAACTGAACAGTTAAAGTCAAACCAACTTCAAATATATACCGTCCAAACACGCAAACTCTCAAAATAAAGCCTGAAGGAAGTTGATATGTACCGACTACAGACTTGAAACAATTCAACACTGTCTCTCACGGATAGGTTAAACAGTAACTCATTAATAGCTAACAAGAAATGTCACTGATTAAAGTTTTGTGGATGTGTAAGGATCCTTAGAGATCCAGTTTCTCAGTGATAGCTTTCCAAATAAGTTTGTCAATCTGGTGATGACGCTTGGTTACTGGTTCTGGTGGTGAGATGAGGGTTATTATATCATCACGTCTGTACCAGAGGATATCATCCATCAAAGATGGCCAGAAGAAACGGTTGTCTCCCACTCTGTGCATAACCATGACTTCGATTTCATTTTCGCCTGTATCCTGGATAATTCCTGGGTACGGCAACCCATCATAAGCAACTACACACCACTTTCCATGTAGATCAGCAGTAATATCCCCAATGTCCATGAGACCTGACCGTGTGTTCTTGTCATGAGAAGTACTGTCTAAAGCTTGAACACTAAAGTTTGGATCTTGATACTGCACCTGCACTGTTAATGGGCTGTGGCATACACACTGATCAGGATAGGAACAGAAACAGCTTAATGTTCCCTTCTCATTGGTAGACAATTGATGGATCTTCATTGTCCCAGGTATGACTGTTATGTCTGGAGGAATATATTTGTCTTCCTCCTCAATATCTGTGGGTGAGATGAAGAACATACAAACTGAGGTCTCTCCATGTAAGGTGTCAAATAGAGTTTTGGCATCTGGAATATCCTTACCATGAGCTACCAGTCTGTCAGCTGTCCTTTTCACAACAGCACCTATGCCATCAGCTGGTCCTTTGCCGTGTCCGGCAGCCAGAAAGTTCCATGTTGATTTTACAAATCCATATGCATACAGTCTGTTCACAAACATAGAGAAATTTTTCTTCTGTTTATACTGAGTAGTAGGCCCATCACTTACAAAGTGGACAGTGTCAATGTCTGGGTATTTGCCCTTGATATGCATGAAGATTGGCCTCATATGAGCCCATATAGCAGGAGGATCATGTCTGAATGATCGCGAAATGGTACAGAAAGGCAGATTGTCATACTTTTCATGGGTATAGACAAGACCTGTGTGAAGAGAAGCTTGTTGATGAGATGCACCAAAGTGAACACTTTGAATTTCACTGGCATATTTACAGGCATAATTTTCTGAGAAGTCCAAGTGAATGATGCACTCATTCATGTTTAGGTTCTTTTTCAATTTGTGGATGGCAAGGTACTGGTGCGATACAGTATAAAGATGTCTGCAAGACACTTTCAGACTCTCCTCAAAGTCATCCACTAAGGTTGCCACAGTTCCCATTACTTTTTCTTTTCTTGTGAGTTGAACATTTATGGTCTCTTGCTTGCCAGCAGTTACCTTTTCTCTTGTCTCAACCCTTCTCTGCCACTCATACCAAAAGATCTGACTTCCCTCATCAAAACTGTGTTTCTGGATTTTCTTTCTGCAGCATTCATAGCATTCCCTAAACATACATTTCCTATCTTTAACTGAACAACAGATTTCTGCAGCAATCTTCATAAGATCACATGTTCCTAAAACGCCAAGCAGACACAGTTTATCTGCCTTCAATTGCAGGTTATCATGTTTTTACAAATGCATGTTTCCCTGTCTGATGCTCCAGGTATTAGGACATAAAATGGTCTTAGGTTGGCAAAGAGTGAATAGGATACCTTTACTTCAGGGTTTTCTGACAGGAATTTTGAGTGTTGGTTTTTGAGAGTATCATTCAGGTATCTCTTTTGACGTTTCACTTTGAGCTTGGTTATCGTGTCCTTCTTCCCGGATGTTGGCCTGCTGTTGTCATCCCGCACAAAGAACTGTAAGATGGTGGCTTTCAGGGCTCCAGCAAAAGAGTTTGCACGTTTCTTTCGTTTGTATTTTATTGGTCCTTTTGTCCTATTGTTTTGAAACGTTTTCTTGAGAATGAAAGAGATGCAGCAGCATTTGATTTGAACCTGTATTTATTGAGAATTGCTTCAGAAAACATTTGTGAAAACAATTGCTTCTGCTTTTCAGGACTTGTACTCTGATACTTAGTCCGTATGGCCTTGATGACGACATTATGGAATAGCAAGGTCTTTCTGACCTTACTTGAAACTTTCTGGCCTTTAAGGAGTTCTTGTGTTTTCTTCTGTGGCGAGTCCTTAAGTTTTGCTGCTGTTTTAAGCCTGTAAATCTGTTTCCTGTATTTTTCCTTTTGTCTCCTGGTATTTGATAACTGTACTTTCAGTTTCAAAATCTCTCTGTAAGCTGCACTCCTCATTCTATGCACCTTCTTACGACCTCGTGTCGTTCTTCCATCCTGATCACCTCCAGCTCTCCCTACAGCTTCATCCAGGGGGAGACCCAGGCGGTGTCAACAGGTTCTGTGTGAGTCTCTCCTGTTTCCGCTGTTTTTCTCTCACTTTTTGTTGATTTTTCCTCCATCTCCTTCTTTGATTACGTTGACTCCGTGATGAATGTTCAGAAATTGGTTTGATTATGCCATTTTCCTTCTTTTTTATATTTCTTAACTTTTCTTTGTTTAGATAGGCTGTTCTCTTTGCGGGGTCACCATTTATCCTTTCTCTATACTTCCTCGCCCTTTCTGCTGCATTCATAGCCATTTTCTCTGTCCTTCCTTTGTTCTTTCATAATCTGATGAATGTTTTCCTTAGTAATTTGTATTTTTTTTCATACAAATCTACAATTCTTTTAGCCCACGCTGCACGCACAGCACTATCTCTTGGGTGGAAATGTAGGAAATAGTCAAACCTCTCTGTAGTTTCAGTCAGGTCTTTTTCTAGGACCAATAAAAGTCTTTTTTCATGATTCAGTTCTCGCATCTGAAGATCAATGAAGAAACAAATAAGACCTAGAACCATATAGACTTTACAACACATCATTGTAGTAAAGACAATGTTATTATCATTATTGGTTTTATCACACATAATATGAAAATGTTTATTGAATGTGGATTTAAAACTTCTTTCTAAAGAAATGTCACTACCGTCACAACGTGTCATTACCATCACTTTTTTCATGTGACAGTAATGACCTGTGACGGTAGTGACATTTCAATATTTGAAAAGAAGCTACAGTAAAATATAAATTCAAAATTGGTGTGTCTCATGAGCACATGGCAAATGATGATGTGGTTTTACTGACATATACTATTACTTTTGCAAAATAGTAGTTACTTTTGTCAATAAGTAGCGTTTGGTAATGACATGGAATAAAAATACTCGCCATATATGTGCAATGCATTTAATATTTGTTGCTATTTAGACAAAAACCTTACCTTCTAAGATTGTCTTGTCATGGTGGTAGCCATGTTGCTTTTCCAGAGGATGAGGAGGCCAGTGAGAATGACCTCCCTTGTGTCAGGAATTTCTATATTTAGATGCTGTGACGGTAGTGACAGGGTTTCTCAGGACATTAAGTTTTAAATTGTGAAAATGTAAATTCTCTTTAATCAAATTTGTTTTCTGCACCTAAAAACCAGTCAGTGCATAAACGGGGTATACAGAAATGTCCATATATCACTCTTTAAATTCTTTAACTTGATATGTTGATTTTATGGACTTGTGAAAATGCTTAAGCTGTGCTTGGGACATGAGAAATTATACATACTTCAATCAATAATTTTCAAAATATATCATTTTAAAACTTTTTCTCAATTACCTTTTGTATATACTATACTGAAGGATGTATAAACATCTTTCATTTCAGCAAAAACACAATTTTTTTTATAAATTATTAAATTTTTACATAGTGCTTAACACCATGGACTGTGTTTGGGCCTCTATTTGTGGAATGACCCTGCTATGCAAGTTAGGACATCGTAAATCGTAAATACACCCATATCTTAAGAGGAGTTTACGACGGGCTTACGATATCTTCATGGAACAGTCGTAAATCATTATGCTAGGACATCCTAAAGTAGGTCGTACCGGCTAGGACGTCGTAGCGCTAAGAGGCTTTCGTGAAACGGCACCCAGGTGTATACATACCTATCTTCTAATCGGCACAGATGCCACTAACCAATCTGGAATTAATTGTCTTTGTTCCAAACCGTTATCCGACGAAATCCTCGATCTCCGTTATTTTGTAT